TAGTTCATTATACTCACTAGCCAAATACATACATTCATTCATTCATTCATTCATTCATTTATAAAAGATGACCGGTAAAGGGATCTTAACCCTTAATTCCTTGATTTTGGTGTTGTCAGCACCACGCTCTCCCAAGTGATCTAACCGGCCATCCCTATACAGGGATCCGAACCTGTGGCCTTGGTGTTATCAGCACCACACTCTCCCACGTGAGCCACAGGCCGGCCCTTCAGTAGCCACATCTAAAATACTCAATAGCTACAAGTAGCCACATGGGACAGCTCATATACAGAACACGTCCGTCATCACAGGAAGTTGTACTGATATTGCTCTGTACCATTTTATAGGACATACAGAGGAGAAAGCCTGATAAACTGCACATAGGGAAGCAATGCAATCCACAAAAATCCAGAATATAAGAAACTCCAGATATTGAATACTTGATTTCTTAAACAAATAACATGCAAGTGGAAAAATAAAGGTGGGGGAGGGGAGTGTTGCAGATTGAGAAATTTAAAATGAATAGTGAAAAACATAATAAAAACCAGATTAAACTAAATTATGGTGTTTGGTGATACAAACTTTGAGGATAAAATTATGAAGAAAAGGATATGATTACTCTGAGAGTCTGGACATCTCCTTTGCACGGGGAGGAAGGAGACTGTGACTGGGGAGGTCACGTGCAGCACTGCTGGGCAGTGGCAAAGCTTGGTTTCTTGGTCTCAGTGGTGGTTATAGGGGTATTCACCTTCTAGCAACTCATTAGTTAAACAATTGTTTTTATGTGGTTTTCTATATCTGTATTAAATTATACCATAAAAAATGGTTAAATAAAATTTCAAAAAAGGCATAAGTGCTACCAAGTGAATCACAATAGGTAATATGATAGTGATTAGGCTTCTATGAGGAGTGACATTTAACCTAAAAAAATGACAAAAAGTAGCCAGCCTTGGGAAGATCAGAAGAGTATTCCAGAAGAGAAAACAGAGGAGGAAAGGGTCTAAGATGGGATTAAGCCTTGGCAAGTCTGAGAGCTGAATGTATTCCAGTGTGTCTATGGAGTGCTGAGATGGTGGAGGAACATTTACCAGTGTCACTGATTTCTGTTTGCTTATAAATATGTTAACTTGGGGACACTAGGTATATCCTAGTTATAAGATACAAAATATTTCAAACGTAGAAAAACGTAAGTGCAATGCTTCAAAATAATTTTCCTTTTCTCCATAACACATGTACATGGTCTAACTAAACTTAAACATGTTATTATTTAGGATGCATGAAATATCTACTCCAATGTCTGGCAAAACAACCTGTTATCCTACAAAAATAAGAAGCAACAACAGGTAAGCAATATTGCAACCAGATAATCTTCTAAAACTATTCCCTAATTCTCTCCTAAGTCAAACACACTACTCAGCCTTACCTCCTCTAAATCCCAATCATGGGGCGCCTCCACAAGAAATCTGGAGCAGTCCAGAGAGTCGGCCTTGTGCTTACACTCTCTGTCAGGCTGGCTGACACGGAACAACCCTCCAAGCTCTTCTCGGTTATCACCATCTTCTTCTTCATTATCCTCTGTCACTAAAGACACCACCATGATGGAAAAGTGAAAACAAAACCTACAACCTTAGAGGACTCATTATCTTCAACTAATTAGGCCACACATCTTAGAATTCAGGGGACTGAGTGTCCGGTTTATGACAGGTATGGTGGTGGTCCTGCGCGAGTCAGCCACAGACAAAGAAAGGCCAAGAAACCATCACTCGGTATGTCTGGAAGACTCCTGCNAGGGTTGCGATCCGTTGCCGGACACGAAAAAAGACAAAAAAAGGAAAAAAAAAAAAAAACTTTATGGTAAACCCATTAATCTATTTCATATGATCAATCTGTGGTCCTCATAAGCTGATGATTAAAAACATCTGCCAAATATAAACCATTACAGCCAGGAATTATGGCTGTCAAAAGCATGACCCCAGTCCTCTAACCAATTCCCTCTTCTACTTTATAGAGAATAACCTAAGAAACTAAAAAAACTTCCAGCTCTGAACCAGAGTTCTTTACCTGTCCCATAAATAAGCTTTCGAAGATTTGGAGTTACTTGTTGCTGCCTCAAAAAGGCCTCAGCTGCCTTCCTGGAAAGGTCTTCCTTCCACTTGAGGGCACCTGAAAGCACCAATGCCAGCATCTGGTTAAGTCTGTTCACTTGTCCTGC